CCTGACAAGACCGAGTGACTATGGATGTTGCCTCCCAAGGACAGTTCGGTTAGTCCATCCTTATGCCTGGGGGGGTGAAACCTTACTCCCCTCAGAGAGGGCCCGCAACTTGGGAGTCCTTCTGGATCCACAGCTGACGTTAGAACATCACCTGTAGGCTGTGACCAGGGGGGCCTTCGCCCAGGTTCACCCGGTGCACCAGTTGCGGCCCTATCTGGATCGGGAGGCACTTCACACGGTCACTCATGCCCTTGTTACCTCAAGGCTCGACTACTGTAACGCGCTCTACATGGGGCTGCCCCTGAAAAGTGTTCGGAGACTACAACTAGTACAGAATACAGCCGCGTGAGCGATTTTGGGTGTACCAAGGTACACCCACATCACACCTATCCTCCGCAAGCTGCACTGGCTTCCTATTGGTATCAGGGCACAATTCAAGGTGTTGGTCACTACCTTTAAAGCCCTACATGGCCTAGCACCCAGATATCTGCGAGACCGTCTTCGGCTACATACCTCCCAACGACCGATAAGATCGCACAGGGTGGGCCTTCTCCGGGTGCCATCAGCCAGACAATGTCGGCTGGCAACCCCCCGGGGAAGGGCCTTCTCTGTTGCTGCTCCGACCCTCTGGAATAAACTGCCCCCAGAGATCCAGACACTACCCACTCTCATGGCCTTCCGAAAGGCTATTAAGACCTGACTATTCCGGCAGACCCTGGGCTGTTGAACTCATGACCGAGTTCCAGCCCCGATTAGACTGTGTGTATGTTGTGGTCTTTTTAAATCTATGTTCTGTGTTTTTAACTTTTCTGTTTTTTTAAATGTATTGTTGTAAGCCGCCCGGAGTCCTTCGGGATTGGGCGGCCTATAAATTCATTAAACATCAACATCAACAACATAGAAAGTAATAACATTAGTGTCACAATTGGCCAAAGCTAGTTCTGTTATGTTTTGGCAAGTTAGAATTGAGAATATTTAATGGCTTTCAATGTTATTTTTAATTAAGTGTAGGACGCTGTATTGCACATCACAGTAAAATGGAACTAAAATTGGCATTGTTCTGATTAGGGGCGATTTCTGAACCACTGAAGGGTAGATGGTTGGAACAGCTTGAACTAAATCGGTATCTCCAGTCATCAATCAATAATCTATTCCCTTCTCAGCAGCATTCCAAGGAAGCCCAGAATAATTTTTTCATGTAGATTTTAATTACAGTTTTTATTCTTTATCTGAAAAGAATGAGTGGGAAATAGCCAGCATACGTGCCCCAAGAACAGAATGGGACAACTTGCTGCGGCCATGGCCAACTCGCCACAGGACAACTTGCTGTGGGACAATTAAATTAAATTAGTTTAAATAGTTTAAAATATATATTAATTTTCATCATTCACCTTTCATTTTGTCCCTCCTTTAGCATCCTTTCTTTAAGGATTCTATTTTTTCCATATTAGTGTAACTCTTGTCCTACAATGAGTTGGCCCATGGCAAGTTGGCAGCAGCGAATTGGCCGTGGTGAGATGGCTGTTGGCGAGTTGGCCATGATGTGTTGGCGGTGGTGGGTTGTTGTAGACACCCCCAAATGATGACTCTTCTTGGGGAAAAACAAACAAACCACAGATTCATTAAATTGAGCCAGTAATGCATTACACCTGAAATAAATCTATTGAAAGTGAATGAATGGAGACTTTTTATACCTGATCCCCTGATACATTTTAGGAAGCTCATTTATTGACATAGGTAAAGTGCTTTTGATTCTGTATCAAAAACAGAAGATATTTCTGGTCACAATTAGTACAACTGAATGACCTTTAGAGAACCGAAAATACTTTAGTACTTTCTGTATTTTTCGGAGTATAAGACGCACCGGAGTATAAAATGCACCAAGATTTTGAAGAGGCAAATAATAAAAAAAAATTTCACTCTGCAGACTTCCCAAAAATGGCCTTTTCCCACAAAAACGGGCTGGGGGTGGCAGAAATGAGCAAAAAATGGGTCCGTTTTTTGCTCATTTTTGCCCTCCCCAACCCCCCAGGAGCACTATGGAAGCCTCCTAAAAACTATGCATGGCCATTTTTGCAAAGTGGGTGGGGTTTCGGGAGGCAAAAAAATGCTGTATTCAGTGTATAAGATGCACCCAGATTTTTACCCTCTTCTGACCAATTTTATTGTATTTAAATATTATGACAATAAAGATTATACTTATACTCCGAAAAATACGGTATTTAAACTTTTTTTATTGTGGACTAGTATGGATGCATTAAATGCATATGTACTCAAACATATGGAAGTCTGCAATACAAAATAACAACTTAGAGAGCTGCAATTGGGAGAAAAAACATCTGAATCTGTTTATATGGCTCTCAGTTGGTCCTTTTCTTGTACTGAGATGGGTTTTCTGTTTCAAAAGTGGCTGAAAACCACAGGTAGCCCTTGCAACCATTCATTTAGCAACCACTTGAACTTACAATAGCCCTGAAAAATTTGACTTACAACAAGTCTTCATGATTACCGTTGCAGTATCCCCACAAGCACAGGATCAAAATTTGGGTGGTTGGCAACTGGCAAGTATTTACTACAACTGGGTCATGGGATCACCTTTTTTGACATTTCCAACCTGTTTCTGGCAAGCAAAGTCAACAGGCAAAGCTGGATTAACAACCACGTGATTAAACAATGCAATTCACTTAACAAACTGCAATGGTAAATTAACTGTAACAAAAACATTGCAAAATCAGTGTGACTCACTCAACTGCCTTGCACAGCAGCAGAAATTCTGGTCCCAAATTGTGGTTGTAAATCAAGGATTATATAATTAGCAAGGTAGGCATCCTGGTAGTGGTTTTATGTTTGAATTTCATAGAATTGTAGAGTTGGGAGGGGCTCTTTGAGACCTCCAGTCCAATCTCCTACTTAATGCAGGAAGCCAAATTAAAGCATTCTGGACAGATGGCTCTGTCTGTAGTCTCCACTTGAGCACATGAAGGCAGCCAACACCCCTCTGCATGATTAGTTCCATTGGGGGTTATTATGCATATTTATTTGCTGTTATTGCTTCTGTAACATTTAATCGTAATCTGCAGTGTAACTCTATTATTCTGTGCCTTGCAATTTGGAATGAGAGAGAACAAGCCTTGACCTACTTTGATTGGGCATACTTGTGAATATCTGAAATGTATTATGTTGCATTTGTCTTTTCCCAAGACTAAGCAAGCCGAACCCCAGTGATGTCTCTCTTTATAAAGCTACCTTTGAGCCCTTTCATTAGCCACACATTTGCTAAACCTTCTTTGAATGCTTTTAAAGTGTGGTGATCAGAACTGGATACAGAAATCTAGATGAAATCTATTCAAACCAGAATAAGGTGGAACAATTATGTCTCATAGTTTCTAAGATATATTTCTAGTTATACTTCCCTTCAGTCCCAACTAGTATGGCCAGTGGCCTTAGTCTGTGGAAACTGCATCAGAGTATCTAGAGAATAACAAGTTGAATAGGTCTATGATGTATATGTCTTATATATCATTGGATGACATAGGCTGACTAAATGTCTCCATTCCATTGGTATATTATGGACTCCTGAAGGTGACTATAGTGAAACCGTTTATCCCATCAGATAACTGTTTAAATCAAATGACCTGTTTAAATCCAATTAAATGATTTGAAGATTGATGCTGTTATCAACGTTGCTTTAAAACTGTCACGCTCTATCTAATAAGCAGCAATCAAATTTAGGAGGGCAACTATAAAGATCTTCATTTGTGTGATCTGCTATAGACTTCTTCAATGTGGTTCATTCCAGCTGCCATATTTTGGAATGCAAAATGACTTTTGGGTATTATGCAGGAGTTCATCTTTCTTCAGTGATGGAAGCTATATTCTAACACATCTGCTGAGCACCATAAGTTGTACCATATACGTACCTGGGTAATTGCAGTGTTCTTTATTTACCATTTCTTTCTGTCCTAGGTTTGTTCCTCTTTCACAGCAGAACGAGGGTCCTACAATCATGTCAAAATGCACCATGCTTATACAAATGTCATTGGCCTTGGGGATTCCAGTACTTGGAAGATTCCTTTCCTGAACCGTTATGTTTATATGTTCATTGCACCTATTGCTGTACCTGTCATCACTCCTTTGGTAGCCATTGGTATGTTACTGTCCTCCGAATCCCCCTACTAATGAGCATCCCCTTCTCTTCATTGGTTTTACAGTGTTTATGTTGAATGCAATTAAGTCTCTTCGTTAATATCGTCTGTCGTTATAGTTCACTGTATGTGGCAACCTGCCTTTGGAAGAATCAGAGAAGTAGAACAAATAAAGATAAAACATTAGCAGCCTAAACCTTCTTCCATGAGATAAAGCTATTCACCCAGCAGCTTGCAACACAGATTATGTGATGCGTTATTAGATAAGAGCCTCCTCCAAATCCCTTTGCTCCCATTTAATTTTAAAAAAATGTATACTAAAAAAAAGGGGAGCAGATTTTGAAAGATTGCAGTCGGGTTCCTGGATTATTTTTTAAAGAGAATTTCAAATTTGATCAGAAATTGAGCACTAGGAAAAGTGGCATCTGATCCTTTCCCCTGAAAAATTAAATTATTCCTTCCCCCAAGTTACAATGTGTGTCTTAGAAGGGAAACTTTTATTTTCCTCTCTTGGGAGTTACACCCATTAAAAAAAATAGCATAAAGGACAATTGTAAACTCCTTCTTTCAAAGCCCCTTTTCTTGGCCATTTAAAACTTTGTAGCCCTGATCTAAATCTAAAGGAGTAGAGGTAGCCCTCAACTTAATTGACCACAATTAAGACTAGAATTTGCATTGTTAAGAAAAGCGGTTGTTATGTGTGTCCTGCCCGCTTTTATGACCTTTTGTTTTGCCACAGTTGTTAAACTACAGTTCATCGTAGTTAACCGGATCACATGATCATTAAACAGATCCGGCTTCCCCCATTGATTTTGCTTGTCAGAAGCTGGCTGGGAAAGTTGCAAATGGTGATCCCATGACCCTGGGACACTGCAACCCTTGTAAACACATGCCAAGCATTTTCAGATTTTGATCAAGTGCTTATGGTGATGCTGTGATGGTTTTAAGTGTGCGTACCAGTGGTAAGTCACTAGTTTCAGTGCCATGGTAATTTCACACAGTCACTAAAATAAGTGGAGGATTATCTGTATCTCCTAAATCAGTGGTTCTCAACCTGTGAGTGGGTACCGCTTTGGCAATTGAACAGCCCTTTCACAGGGGTCGCCTAAGACCATCGGAAAACAATACTTTCGATGGTCTTAGGAACTGAGACACCAATTTTATGGTTGAGGGGGAGGGTCACCACAACATGAGGAACTGTATTAAAGGGTTACGGCATTGGGAAGGTTGAGAACCACTGTCCTAGATGTTGCAAGGTTGTCAAAAAAATTGTGGTTGTAGTTTAGAAGATATAAATTGCTTAGGGGAGAAATAGTGAATTTACATCATGCCTGCACTACCTTTCCAGATTTCATAGCAACGTGATTTCCCATAATGGCAGCCAATTGTCAAGCCCCTTAATTGCAGAGCACAACCAAGAGCCTAAGTAGTCCTCTGCTTACGACCACAATTGAGTCCAAAATTTCTGTTGTTGTGAGACATTTGTTAAGGGAGATTTGTCTCATTTTATGACTTTTCTTGTCACATTTGTTAACTGAATCACTGCAGTTGTTAAATGAGTAAACACGGTTGTGAAGTGAATCTTGCTTCCCCATTGACTTTGCTTGTCAGAAGGTCGCAAAGGGGATCATATGACACACCCACCCACCCACGACACTGCAACCATCATAAACATGAGTCAGTTGTCAAGCATCCGAATATAAATCATGTGACCAGGGGGATGCTGTAATGGTCATAAGTGGAAAAATATCCACTTTTTGTTTAAGTGACCTGTTGTAAGTTGAAGACTACCTGTACAAGATATTGAGAACAGATTAGAGGAAACATCTAGCCATTTCATACTACCGGTAGTGACGTCTTTAGGTAAGGTCTCTGAATTTCCTTTTCCAAGGCCGTGTGCACGATGGGCTAAGTATCCATTTCTTTGATAAATCTGTAATGTTCTTTCCCATCCTCTGATTGTTCATCTCAATAAATACCCCCTTCCCTTTCTCAAGAGTCTCAGAGCAACTTTTTCTACCTTCCCCTCACCCCCGACAAAAACAGTAAGAAACAGTAGCCTCCCAATAAACAGTAGCTTAACTTATTTTCGTTTCCATAGGTTTACTCACAGAAGTGGAACTGAAAACTGCCCTTCGGACTCTGTGTTGTATATTCATTGGTCTGTATGGCCATTGTTGGCTACTGTTTAATATCTCAGAGTTCCAGTCTATCTGGTCTGCACTTGGCTGTATGTTGATCACCCGTGCTCTCCTCGCCCATGCATACATCCATGTCAATATCTTCCAGGTAAGGCTATCAACAACCCGATATTGTATGAAAAAATCTATTAGATTAGCATCTCTTGGCATAACTATCCTGCATTGTAAAAGTGCACGTTTTCCCTTTGGGTATATTCTGGTTGTCCAGACATTCCCTATGTTCAGATGCTGCTTATAGATCAGTGATGGTGAACCTTTTGGGCACCGAGTGCCGAAAAGGGAGTTCTTTGCACTTGTCTGAGCCATGAACAGGAAGAGAAGCTGCCCAGGGGGCATGTATGTGTTGGGAAATGAACTTTCAGTTTCCAGAGCAGTCTTCTGGTTACTGCAGTGGTGGGTTGCAGTTGATACACCCCGATACGGGTGTACCAGTGTCTGCCGGGAGCACTGGGTACCATTCCGATACAGTGCTCCGGAGGGGCCCACTCACTGTCCTTACCTGTATTTGAGCTCTTTGGCGCTTCTGCGCATGGAGCATACGGCACCTGTGCGTTGCTCTGCCGAGCAGCTGGGATGTCGCGGAGCGTCACAGAAGGTAACGCATACGTGCACTGCGCATGTTCATGTGGTGGCCACTGGGCCCCATTGCACCGTACCGGTTGCAATAGGGTTCAGAACCCACCATTGGGTTACTGCCATGCATGCTCATGCACCGATCAGCTGGCCAGCGCACAGGCTCATGCCAGAAAATGGAAGACCAACTCTTCTGGTTTCTGGCACTGCCGCACACACAAAGGCCAGCTGGTCATCACATGTGAATACACGTCACAAACTCAGAAGAGGAACAGGCGACACAGCGCATGCTAGGCGACATGGCTCTGCATGCCACTTTGGGCACACGTGCCATAAGTTCACCATAATTGTTATAGATGAAGTACCCCTTGTCACAGTGTACTTAGCTAGGTTTTGCCCATCAGTGCAGAAGATCTATCAAACACTAATGGGCCATTATCCCCAAGGGTGGTATTCATTTACCTTCCCTACTAGTTCCAAAATGTGAGCATGCATGCGTGTTTGACAAAAAAAAGGGCCTAAATGGGATGCTGTAGAGCCAGGGCAGGTGAGTGGAGCTACCCATGATTATCGCTACGAGTCTGAATCGATAGAATACCACCTCTGATTATCCCACCCATTCTGGGAAACATAATTTATTTAAATTTTAAATATTACTACTTTGCTGATATTAATATGTATGTATGTGTGTGTGTGTGTGTGTGTATGTGTATGTATATGTATATATGTATGTAGGTATGTGTATATATGTATATGTATATGTATGTGTGTGTGTATGTGTATATGTATGTATGTATGTATATATATATATGTGTATACCACACACACACACACACACACACACTTTACTGCAATTTTAGATATTATATTTAATATAAAATAGTGTTTCTGTTATATGCTATATCTTGGGTTTTATATTTTATATGTTAGATGCTAGTGAGGTCATTTTACAAATGCATTTTAACTCTGTACTAAATTTTATGTGTCAATTATCAGTACTAGTGTTTGATTGCAGTAAATTGGATTGAACAATTGACTGGGAAACAGAGATTGTGAAAGGGGGCCTTAGAGACTGGAAAGATAATTGGAACAACTATTTTCAATGTATATGCTATTTTTGTAGGAACATGGTGGCTCAGTGGCTAAGACGCTGAGCTTGTCAATCAGAAAGGTCAGCAGTTCGGTGGTTCGAATCCCTAGCGCCACGTAATGGAATGAGCTCCCATTATTGTGCCAGCTTCTGCCAACCTAGCAGTTTGAAAGCATGTAAAAATGCAAGTAGAAACATAGGGACCACCTTTGGTGGGAAGGTAACAGTGTTCCGTGCGTCTTCGGTGTTTAGTCATACTGGCCACATGACCACATAGACATCTTTGGATAGCGCTGGCTCTTCGGCTTTGAAACAAAGATGAGCACTGCCCCCTAGAATCAGGAACGACTAGCACATATATGCGAGGGGAACCTTTACCTATGCTATTTTTAGCTATGTAATTGCACTGAGGCTATGATCTTGTGCATAGTCGTGTAAAAATAAGGGTGTTTCTAGCTGTAGGCTTCTTAGAAACAACATAATATTGGGCAATCATTTCATCATCCATTCTATAAGAGGTAATTTTTTTAAATTAAACAATACATACCGGGAAAACATGGAAATGTTTCAGATTGTCCTACAGAAACTTGGTGAGATATAGTCATAAATAATCTTGGTGAGATTTGCTTCCAGGTGTTTGATTGTATTATTTTTAATTAAATGGTGAATATTGAGCATTTCTCAAAAGGAGTCTAGTTTATATTTGGAGAACTTGGATCTCCAAATGTTGCTAAATTCCCAGCATCTGTCTCTACTGTCTCTGCTGGCTGAGAGCAGTAACACATAGAGCAGTGTTTTTCAACCACTGTGCCGCGGCACACTAGTGTGCCGTGACATAGTGTAAGGTGTGCCGTGGGAAAATTACTTTATATATA